GTTTTAAGTTATTTGGATGAGAAATTTTTGAGTTATCTTTCCCGCCAATTTTGAAAACACCGTTTCGAGAAAAACGCGTTTAAAGTTTTGGGTTGTGTAAAAACATGATTTCTGGAACTAACCAGGGGGAACGACACTCATTTGGATGTATTTTTTCAGTCTAGTAATTACTTGGGATTTTCGGGGAAAAACATAATTGATGGGATTTTTTTGAGTGTGTCGTGTTGACGAAAATAGAGCAGGGATAGAAAAAATAGATGGTAATAGATCAGGCAATTGATGTGATGTGAGGGATGTTAAAAAATTTCAGAGGGATACGAGTCTGAACGCGAAGAGGATAGGTGTAAAAAGAAGAAAAATTTGCTGCAATGAAGCGTCCATGAATTACGTAACGCTTATAGGGAGAGAGGGGGTCGCCTATATCGTTACGAATTATACATAGGGGAGGAGTAGTAAAGCCATAGAGGTAACTCTAAGACTAGTAGGTCCCGAAGAAACTTGCTCAACTTTTTGGCTCAGCTCTGGTACTATCTTCGGTCCCAAGCTGGTCGATTCACCCCTCGAAACATAGGAAAATCCACTAACCCCTCATTTTATCTGTCAAACTTTCATAGCGAATTAAAACAACCATTGTGTAGTACTAGAATCTTGACTAGAATGGAGTACGTTAATCGATTTGCTTGGGACCAATAGGCTAGTCAAGTAGTGAGCCAATTTAAAATCGTTAGTTTCCACCTGTTGGTAAAGCTTTGCGTTGCGTAAAAAAGAGAACATTTTTTTTTCGTTTCTTGATGTAAAGTTTGAAAATACAGCTCTTTTTTGACGCTTTTGGCAACGACAACGAAGGCTATCATCATTAAATCTTGCTTTAAAAAATGGATTTGTTTTAATTTTATAAATTGAGATTTTTGCTATCTTGAACTTTTGAAAAGGAGGTACACGATGGTACGCTGATCTTTTGTTTTTGTTTTGAATATTAATAATATAATTAATTACCTAAAAATAAAAAAATACAAAACGAAATCATACATTAATTAAATGAAAATGCGGGGGAGGGGGGTTTATAGAGCGTTGCGTAATAAATAGAAGGGGGTCATTTTCAGTGTACCGTTTTGTTCAAAAGGGGGGGGGGGGTCAAACATATTGATTTTTAGCGAAACGGAATTAATGGACACCGCTCGGGACACCGCCCAACTATAATAATCAAAGCTCGCAGCTCAAGTGCAGAAAACGGTTCCGCACCGAAAAGGTCGAAACTGCACAGTAGGATGAACGGGTGATGGCGATGGATTACAAGGTTCCAGTTAATATTCCCAGCTGTATTTGGACGGGAATTTGATCCGCAATATTCTCGCACAGAAATACATCACCAGGTGGGTGTCTTACTTCACCATTAGCTCTTTCTTATCCGAACCCTTGACCAGCAGCAGAGACGAGTAAAACTTGGGCCGAGTGGAAAAAACGACCTGACTTCCTTTTCCACCTGCTTGTCGTAGGGGGTTTCATTGGTAAGGCTTTTCCCGGGGCTAGAATCAGCAGTTCGAACGAAATCAACAGTTGCTTCGCGCCTGTTCGGTAGCTTCCATGATACAACACACAGAGACCCGGGCTCTTATCTGTCGAATTCGATCGGTTTGAGTCCGGGAAATGGATGTGCGTTGCCGTCTCCTCCGTGATGCACTTGATGTTTTTTGCCCCCGAGACCGATTATAGACGAATGGTCCGTCATCTTTTTTTAGTTTTCGCACCGATTTTTTACCGGCATGGTCAGCTGACATACATGGTGTTTATTGTTGAGAGTGTTGTAAACTGACAGTGAGTATGGCAGAGTGCTTCGCGGTCGAACTGAAAACTTCGAGAAACTGCACGGCTTGCTTGACAATTTGTGTGCATGCAGAAGGGATAAGTTGGGAATAGAAAGAATAGATAGGATGGATTGAAATTTTGTGCACGTTGAAAATTATATGAGAGGTTTGGGTAAAAATGGGATAATCCTGAAGTGTCGTTCCCCCTGGAACTAACGGTTAATCGGCGATACCGGGGCCATAGATCACTCCTTCTTCGTGCTCGTAGCATTTTTTAAATTTTTTAAAGCAAAATATAAAAAATGGAAAAAAAAATTTACTTGTTTTTCCCCCTAACTACAGTTCCTGGTGTTCATTTAAGGGACACTTGTTCTGCACAAGTATTCTCTCCTGTTCGGCAAACTTCGGTGGTTCTTTGGCTCCTCTATCCGCATAGCTCTTGTACATTCACTGATACTCTAGGCCGGAGTGCATCCAGCGTCATCGGCATGTTTGATCGTACCAAATGACCCATGAGTCTTTCGTTGGGTGATGGTTCATGGAGCAGCTTCTCGGTGTATTCCGCATGTGGAGTAAAGCTAGATGTATGTCTGAATGATCATCGCTACACTTCTTCAACATTGATTTAGCTACTTGCATGTATCTCTCAGCTAATCCATTTGCTCGAGGAAAGTGTTGACTCGATGTTTGATGCTCGGAACCCTCGGAAAATTGACGAAATTCGGCACAAGCGTATTGAGGTCCATTATCGGTCTCCAAAATTTGAGGAATTCCATGAATGGAGAACCATTCCTTCAACTGCTTAATAACGTGTTGAGACGTTGTTTGAGATAACTTCAAAGGCACAAATGTCAGCTTCCACAAAACATACAAATTTGAAATTGCTACTTGTCGTGAACCGGGGGTAACGGCTTCACGAATCTGCCGGGTTGCTGCTCGTCAGCTGAAATGAGGGCCGGAATTCTCTTCGGCCCTCGCTGATGCATGCGGTCAATCGCACTGGCAAGAGCGGTCCGCTGCCGTTGTTCTGCTTCTGCTGCTGCTTCCATCCTTGCTGATACTGTTGTTGTTACTGCTGCTTGCTGCGTTATCATGAAAACGTGTCACAAGAATGAGCTTAGCGATCACAGGTACCTCGTATTTATACCCCATCTAATTTCGCCTCTATTTGCTAATCACCAATTAGGGAGCTTTCTAATTTCCCCTCTTTAGGCAGAATAGGTATTCTCCGCTTCCAGATAAGGTCGCATGAAATGCAAGGTAGAAGTTCTCAAAAAGGCTTATCGTGATAATAATTCATCATTAGCATTTATTTTTCTTTTCTTCACTATTTTTTTTGTTTGTTTATACAACCAAGCTTTAAGTTGATGTGTTATTTAAAGATATTTAATTTGTTCTTGTTTATTCTGGTATATTCTACACTACTCTCTGTTTGTAGTAGCACAGCAAACAAGGAGTAGCAATTTCAAATTTGTATGTTTTGTGGAAGCTGACATTTGTGGCTTTATAATTTCACGCTAAGGCTTCCTTAGAGTATCACCTTAATGTCGAAAAATCCGGAATAACTATCGGCCAGAAGAAGGTACTCCAACTCTTTCAAACGAAAGTCCTGGAATGTCCTTCAGAAGAATAGTACTTCACTACTAGTACTATGGTGTCATGTAAGATGTTGTCAAGCAGGCTTGCAATTGCTCATTACCAGGCTTGCAATTACTCATTACAGCTAAAATGCTATTTTTCGTCATTATGAAACTATCAGATACTACACACTTAGAAATTATTACCGTATTCGGTAATTTTTTACCGAACTTTCAACAGCTGAACGTTCGGTAAACGAAATAACTACCGAACGATCGGTAAACAGATTTTTGGATTATTTGTCAAAATGACCGAACAATTCGGTGATTTTCTACAGAACAATTCGGTAGCTATTACCGAACTTCCGTAAAACGAGAACGAAATATTTTTTTTAAATTATACTACTTTTTTCGATTAATTTGTATTGAATTATCTTTTTACAATAATAGTTATTTGATTGTTTTTATTGAGAAAATTTTGTCAGGGGGGTTTGGTGCAATATTTGAAACGGATAATGGCTGGATGAGAATAGCGACCAGGAGATACCCAGCATATGGGGCGATCGTTTGTGCCCTCCAAGAATGGTCTTCTGACAAATAGAACGGGTGACATTGTATTTTGGATGGTAAAAATTTCTTCGGTCTATAAAATAGTAATTGTTAAATGTTTGTTGTAAAATACTTCTGTTTATAATACTGTACCTGGTTCCATTTATCAGCACTTTAAGTTAGTTTATCCTCGAAGCACGGTTCACTTATAAATAAAGTTTCTTCACGGTTTGACAGTTTGTACAAACCGAAGTTCGGTAATCTGATTTATGTTTTACGGTTTGTTCGGTGATTTTTTTACCGAACTCGGCGATTATCTCATTTTACAGTTCGTACTGTAATTTTTTTACAGAGTTCGTCACTTAAAAAATCAGACCACCGTTATTTCGGTAAAACTTTACCGAATATTGGTAATTTTTTATGATTTACCGAAAAATCTGTAATAATTTTCGTTTACCGATTATTTTCGGTAAAAAATTACCGAACAAGCCAAACGTAGCTGAGTGTGTATAATGGTAATTTTTATTTGTAAGAAGCAAGAATAGGTGGCAAAGTTTGTGTATGACATAAAAAATTTGTCAATTTTGTTTTCAGAAGGTCACAACTATCGATGGTATGATCGCTCATTGCTCGCTTATCACGTCAGGTCAGGTAAGACAGTACACAGCAAAAAAAAAATGTAATATCGATCAACGTAATTCAAGCTGATGTATGAAAGAATGATGTAATAGCAAAAAGCAGATACAATATTACATTAATGGATGTAATTTTGTTCGCAAAATCGATGTACATCGTACAATGTGATATTACACAACCGATGGATTGACCTGGTTGCAGCAGTTTCGATGTAATATTCAACAACTTTTTTTGCTGTGTAGAAAACTTTAAGAAGCATATTTTGTTTAAATTTCCCAAACACGATGACAAAAAGAAAGAAAAGTTGTAAACTGGCCTCCCTGGTTGTTGATACTTTTACTGATTTGCTGTCATCGTCATTGGCTGCAATCATTACCAACGTACAGCGCCGCTTCCAATCGCTTCTGACAATTAGTTCGCCATCATGAAACCATGACGTCATCATCCCAATAAGATCGAGAAGAAAATACGAAGGCAGCTGCAAGTGAGCACAAATTCCTTGCGAAATGTGTTTAAAATCTTTATAATTTAATTTAAAACACCCCCAAACAGTGGACATTTGCTAAAATTACAAACGGAAAGTGAAGGATTCCGGAAAAAGTGAAAACCAAACGAAGCAGACGCTATTTTGTTGGACCCCCTTCAAAAGTGGGAGTAGTCACGAAGGTTAAATCCGGATTGCAACAGAATGGAGGACATTTTCCACTGGTGCCGCGAGGGCAACTCGATCCAGGTGCGTCTATGGCTGGACGACACCGAGCATGATATGAATCAAGGGTGAGTTTGGGTGGGCTGCTTCTGTTTTCGGCTGTTTCCAGGGTTGAAAGTAGTTGACCGCAGAAGACTTCCATAAATGGAAGAAAATCAATCAAGTGGAGTGGAAGTTGTGCAGATGTGAACATATTAATGATTGATCTAGTAAAGTTCCAGGGATGGGTTTGGAAGTGCATTCTAAGTTATTTGCGTAGGCTCAGGATGATGAAAGCAAGTTATTTTAGAACCTCTAGCTAGCTGATTTTGACAGTAACTGAACTCTGTGTGGGCATCGATGACGTCATTGTTTCGGTTTGTTTACATCCCACCTTTTCGGCGCACGAATGCGACGGAATGGTTCGCTTCGGTTTACTTCGTATCCTACGCTTGTGTTTACTACACAATCATTCGTGATGATTTGTTTTTATGAATGGAATAACGTAAATAATCAAAACAAGATGTTTATGTTTGATGGCAAATAATACTTTTGATTCAAATGCATATCTAACTTTTTTTTTGTTCGATTTTTAGAGATGATCATGGCTTCAGTCCATTGCACTGGTGCGCTAAGGAGGGTCATACCAAGCTGGTTGAAATGCTGCTGCACCGGGGTGCTCGGGTGAATGCCACCAACATGGGCGATGATATTCCACTGCATCTGGCTGCCGCACATGGGCATCTGGAAATTGTTCAAATGGTATATTTGGATATTTAAATGAGGTTTGAAAATTTTACTTTTAACCGGTTGATCTTTCTATCACGCTCACCCCGCAGCTAATTCGTTTCCGATCGGATGTAAACGCTGCTAACGAACACGGAAATACTCCACTTCACTATGCCTGCTTCTGGGGCTATCAACCAATAGCCGAGGAGCTGGTTAGCAATGGTGCTTTGGTATCGCTCGCCAACAAGGATGGCGATACTCCACTAGACAAGGCAAAGTCTCAGCTGGCGACACGGTACTTTAATTCCTTCAATGTTTCGATCAAGTAATTCCATCATGGTTTGAACTCGTTTTCTAGCCTGCACAGTCTGGCCGTCGAAAGTGGACAGGAACTGAAGAAGATCAGTTTCAAGGACCAGAGCTGGTTGGGTCTGAAGACACGGTCCCGGGATGCGACTCTGTCTCGGTACAAGGGGATCAACATTCAAGACTTGATGTTGCACACCAAGCTGGCCATCACGGCGGGAGGCGAAACCTGGCGTGGTAGATGGCAGAACAATGACATCGTGGCGAAGATTCTCGCGATTCGCGAATGCAACGCACGTGTCAGTCGGGACTTCAATGAGGAGTTCCCCAAGTTGCGAATTTTCTCGCATCCGAATATTCTGCCGGTGATCGGAGCGTGCAATGCCCCGCCTCGTTTGATCGTCATTAGTCAGTATATGCCGAGGGGATCGCTGTACGATTTGCTGCATGGTGCTGCTGGTATTGTGGTCGATACGGCGCAGGCGGTTCGTTTTGCTCTGGATATTGCCCGTGGTATGGCTTATCTTCATTCTTTGGAAAGGATTATCCCGGAATATCATCTTAATAGCTTCCATATTATGGTAAGTTATCCCTCCGATCATTAGTTATGATAAATGAAACCCTTATCACATCTTCCGTAGATCGATGACGACCTGACGGCTCGTGTAAACATGGCGGACGCTAAGTTCTCCTTCCAGGAGCGTGGCCGCGTCTACCAGCCGGCCTGGATGAGTCCGGAAATGCTGCAACGTAAGCGTACCGACCGTAACTGGGAGGCTTGTGACATGTGGAGCTTTGCCATCTGTATCTGGGAGTTAGCAACGCGAGAAGTCCCCTTCGCTGAACTCTCGCCAATGGAAGCCGGCATGCGTGTCGCTACCGAAGGTCTCCGTGTTCTGGTTCCTCCGGGAACGTCACCCCATCTGCACAAGTTGATCAAGATTTGCATGAACGAAGACCCGGGCAAGCGTCCGAAGTTCGACATGATTATCCCGATTCTGGAAAAGATGAAACGCTGATGTGGAACTTGCTTCCGACGGATATGTGTTCATTCATGGGAAAGTGAAAAATGATGTGCCTTTAACTGTTTTGTCTCTTTATTTATTAAACAAAAAACGACCTTCCTAACAACCCGTAGAGAATGTTATAATCTGCCAAAATGTAACAGTGTGCTGATTTATTAACAAAGAACACGAAAGTTTTAAATGCTGCGAAGAAGAAAAAATGTTCAAATGACAATACCGCGTTTAGGTTCGTTCGTACTCGTTAGTTGATATTCTGTTAAAACACGTAACAATTCAATCAAACACAGCAAGAGTGTCTTATACGTCAGAATGGATAGTATTAAAAATGAATGGAAATGTAGTGGCAGCTGCCAAATCGAAAAATGCACAATTAACTGAACCTAATCGAAAAGTAGTAGGTAGTTGCATGTACGTTAAACGTAACGTAACGTAACGGTTTAGATTTGTAGAAACAGATTTATTTTTAATAAACGTTTATTGACGACTAGAGGATCTTCTCTTTTTTATTAAATCTAAAATTTACTGTGGCAACAATTTCTGCACAAAACCGAACTCTTCAAATGCGTTTATCTCCGTAAATAAGGTCTTAATCGTGATTTTTGGGGGTGTTTTGATGTTCAAAATTTTAAAATGCATTTTGTCCTGAATCATGACTTTTCAGGAGTTTGTTTTAATTATTTTCGAGTTCTTTAAATGCGTTTATCTACGTAAATAAGACCATTTTCGCGATGTTAGCAGTATTTCGATTCTCGAAATATGGAAATACATTTTTCTCCCTTATAGTCCTTGTAATTTTAGGGGTGTTTGGATTTTATAAATCTTCAATGGGATTTGTTTCCGTAAATGTGGCCTTAATTGTCCGACATTTTAAAATGCATTTAACCCCTAAATCGTGATTTTTTAGTTTATTTGGGTGTTCGAAATTTTTAATCGCTTTTATCTCCGTAGATAAGGCCTTATCGCGATTTTAGGGGTGATTGGATTTTCATCTCTGTATTTATCTCATAATAAGCCCTAATTCATGATTTTTGAGAAGTTTGAATTTTCCGAATTCTTCAAATGCGCTTATCTCCGTAAATAACGTCTTAATCACGATTGTAGGGGTGTTTCGATGCTCTAAATATTTAAATAACTTTTTTCTCCCTTAATAATTTGTTTGGATTTTAGAAATCTTCAAATGCATTTAACTCCGTAAAAGTGGTCTTAATCGCGATTTTATGGGTGTTTTGATGTTCGATGTTAAATGCATTTATCCCCGTTAATAAGCCCCTAATTCATCAGTTGTCCCACAGCTGTCTACAGCAGCAGTCGATTTTTTATTTCGTTGTGAACCACACGATAGCCTGTTTTCGAGACTCGCTATTATATAGTTGCTCTTTGTTCGTTGCTAGCAGTTCGGTGCCTTTTGTTGCTACGGTGCAAGATGTGTGAAGTAAAAAACACCATCAAGTTTAGCTTCAGCCATTGTGATGCCAAACCAAACATCGGAGAGATAGTAAATTTCGCCAAAGCACTCGACGCGGATCCGGCTGAAATGGAAGCTGTTTATCGCACTGGTGAGGAAAGGGGAGTCTTCATGAAGTTCAAATCAGAGGAAGCGATGCTCCATGCTCTGACATTCAATTCGGAGGATTTAATCTTCCATTATGCGAATGGAACGACGGCAAAGGTACGCATGTCGCATGCTGGTGAATTCATTCAATATGTGCGTGTGTATGACTTGCCACCAGAGGTACCGGACAACGAGCTGGATAAAGTGCTGGGGAAATATGGAAAAATTAAACGCATCATCCGGGAGAAATTTCCATCTGATCTGTGTTTTGAGGTATATACAGGGATACGCGGTATATATATGGATGTGAAGAAGGAAATCCCCACGTCATTAAATTTCTTCAATCGCAAAGGAAATATATTTTATGATGGCAACAAAGATAAATGTTTTCTGTGCAAGGCGGACGGACACCGGAAGCTTTCCTGTCCCAAGCGGAAGGCTCGGAAGGAACCGGAGAAGCAACTGAAGGAAAAAGGAAAGCAAAGTGAAAGAAAACAAAACAGCAGCAGTACGTATGCTGGTGTAGTGGTGGAAGGTGCGTCGTTTGTCATTAGCGACCAGGAAACGGACACGGGGTTGGAGATGTTGAATAAAGATAACGAAATGGACGAGACGACCCCGACGACCGACGAGAGTAGCGGAGAGCATGCAACGGGAAACGACGTTCAGAAGCAGCAGCAGCGATCACGATTCGGGTTCAATGAAAATGAGGAACAAATTCGGGAAAGAAAGAAGTTGCGTGCACGGGAGAAGATCGCTTTGTCGCCGCTTCGATCGCCACCCAGAAAAATCATATGATAAAATATATTTGTATAGGGGAATTTACGTATTCTCGTCAATCTAAGCAGCGTCCGAACTTCTATTAGCGATTTCTCAGCATCACATACATACATGACAGGTTTGTTTGTTGACATTTATCTGCTGCTTGCTGTTCTACCAATTCCAATCGACAGAATTGATCAAAACGGGTTGAACATGTTTTTACAACGCTCCAAACTTCTCAGGTGAGTGTGACTATTGTCGGCAGTCTCTTTTTCTTCGGCACCCTTTCCATTTGAACTGCGTGTTAACCAGCTGTTCTATTATCGGCAACTCGAAATCAGCCGTATTTTGTAGAGTGTATATTTCATTTAATGAAAAATATGGCAGAACAGGATTGCACAGTCGTAAAAATGTAATCAGATTGAAGCTGAAAAGGTAAGGAATCGGCTTAATACATTCAGCGAAGAGTTTTGATGGGAAAATACAGTGAAATTAACGTTTCAATTTCGGTTGCCGAAAACAGTCAATGGGTGCCGAAGCCATAATTTACCCTATATATTTTTTTTTGTATTTTGAATACCATAATTGGTATTCTATGTTACTCGGCTCCGCTAAGTTATTTTTATAACATTTGAGCCTGCCAAATAAACGAAATGAAAAAAAAGCCCCTAATTCATGGTACACTGAAAAATCCGTTTACGAAGTCTTTTTTTTACGCAATATTCAGTTTACGTCCCTCTTTTACGAAGTAAATCCCAAGTAACGAGGATTTTTTTGCGATTCTGGGAAACTGGGAAATATTGTTAAATACCCAACAATATTGGAGGACGCTTAGGGACCAGAAATACATGTCTGACGCCATTTTAAAATCAAAGATGGCGGCTTTCGGTTAGATAAAAACATGGAAATTCTGTCAAATACCCCTCAATATGCATATTTTTGGAACCAAGAGGACGTTTAGGAAACTTGAGCCCGATTCCAAAAATATCCATATTGTGGACAATTTGGCAGAATTTCCCAGTTTTTCTGTAACCGGAAGCCACCATCTTGTATTTCTAAATGGCTTTAGCCGGTCCCTACACTTTACCCCGATTAAAAAAATACCATGTATTTGTACCAAAATTTGTAAATACCAGTATTTAACAGTATTTCCCAATTTTTCTCTAACCGGAGGCCACCATCTTGAATATTAAAATGGCCTCAAATATGGGTTTCCAATCGGCGCCGATGGTGTAGTGGTAAGTGTGATTACCTCTAACCCCTGCAGGCTTGGTCGATCCACTCTGCCCGCTGCGCGCCTCTTCTTCTTGTTCCTGTTGGGTCGCTTTCGAGAACCATTTTCACTGGGTCGTCGTGCGGCATTCTTACGACGTTCCCAGTCCACCGTAGTCGCCAAATTTTTGCAATGTGGACGATGGATGGTTCTCCCAGCAGCTGGTGCAATTCGTGGTTCATTCGCCTCCTCAACGTACCGTCATCCATCTGCGCTCCACCGTAGATGGTACGCAACACCTTTCGTTCGAAAACACCAAGGGCGCGTTGGTCCTCCACGAACATAGTCCAGGTCTCGTTGCCGTAGAGGACAACCGGTCTAATCAGCGTCTTGTAGACAGTCAACTTCGTGCGGCGGCAAATTTTATTCGACCGGAGCGTTTTCCGGAGTCCAAAGTTATCACGATTCCCTGCCATAATGCGTCTTTGATTTTTTTCTGCTGGTATTATTTTCGGTGGTCACCAGTGAGCCCAAGCACACGAACTCATCGACCACCTCGATTTCGTCACCGTCAATCTGAACTCGAGGTCTTCCCTGTCTTTGTATTTTGTCTTTGATGCGTTGATGGCAAGTCCAATCCGCCTAGCTTCAGCCTTCAGTCTGATGTACGTTTCCGCCATCGTCTCAAAGTTCCGTGCCATAATGTCAATGTGATCGGCGAAGCCAAGAAGCTGGATGGTCTTCCTGAAGATTATGTCATTCGTGTCTATCCCAACTCTTCTGATCACACCTTCTAACGCGATGTTGAATAGCAGACACGAAAGTCCATCACTTTGCCGTAACACCCTTCGAGATTCAAAGGGACTCGAGAGTGTGCCCGATACTCGAACAACGCACATCACTCGATCCATCGTCGCCTTAACCAATCGCGTCAGTGTATCTGGAAATCCGTACTCGTGCATAATCTGCCATAGCTGATCTCGATCGATTGTGTCGTATGCTGATTTGAAATCGCTGAATAAATAATTTGTGGGCACGTTGTATTCGCGGCATTTCTGCAAACCTGCTGAATCGCTAAAATTTGTTCCGTGGTAGCGCGGGCACCCATGAATCCCACCTGGTATTGCCACATGAACTCTCTTGCAAATGGTGACAGGAGACGACAGGCTACCGGCTCCGATCTTCAAGAAGTTGAGGAGGAGATCGATCGGCTGAAGAACAACAAAGCAACTGGTGTAGATCAACTACCAAGTGAGCTATTAAAATACGGTGGTGGGTAATTGCCAAGATTTTGGGAGTATATATTACCGAAGTAGTAGATGTAAGGTCATAGAGGTAACTCTAAGACTAGAAGGTCCCGAAATAACGTGCTCAACTTTTTGGCTCAGCTCTGGTACTCTCTTCGGTCCCAAGCTAATCGATTCACCCCTCGAAACATAGGAAAATCCACTAACCCCTCATTTTATCTGTCAAACTTTCATAGCGAATCAAAACAAACATTGCGTAGTACTAGAATTTCGACTAGAATGGGGTACGTTAATCGTTTGCTTGGGACCAATAGGCTAGTCAAGTAGTGAGCCAATTTAAAATCGTTAGTTTCGTATTGATTGTTGATTTTTCAGAAAACACTGATTCTCAATATAACCATGCTTATTACCGTTAAATCTACTATAATTTCAGTATAGTTGATTGTGAATGTTAACAAATTTACTATGATTCTGGCGAAACTACCATGCTTGGTCAAAATGCATAGTAATTCTGAAAGAAATGATAGTAAAATTAAATGAAATTGTTTTCTGCACAAATCTATTGGTGAAGGTATTTAATTTAAACCAGCAATATAGTATTTTTAACAATCGATTTTGTTTCAGTGAATGGTAAATGGTCACTTAGGTGACGTGATTCGCACATTTTCCTTGAATCAATAATGTTACAGCTAAATTACTAAACAAATGCATCT